TTCCCCCTGCATCCAAATCTGCACCTGCTCTGGTCACACTATAACGTGATCTCAAAAGCAACTATGCGACGAGTGGGGCAAAAAGCCACCGGAAGAGCAGCAGTTCGACCCGTTTTTCCGGGCGGTGTCCGCTGTGGCTCACAGCACTGGGACCAGGCTCAAGACCAGGGTGCAGCTCCTCAACCAGGTAAACACTTCACTTAACCCGATTCTTTGCTTGTTTCGACCTTGACCTCTATGATAATAGTAGTATCGTTTTATAGTGTCACAAATGGGTGACCAGGAAAGATCAGGATAATGTTCATGTTTGTAGCTCATTTTTTTTCAAAGGATCCAAGCAAAGGAATGAACCGAGAACCTTGATCGACTATGTATGTCACAGGCGTGGCATTTAATGATGATTGTCGTAAAAGATAACGTTGGCCTCTGGCTAGGAAATGAGAGGGCAATACACGTCGGGGAAAAAGGTTGCGGGTGAAGTCGAGTGGAAAATATTGTCTCTGTTTTGTTACTGCTATGACTTGAGTTGCAGGTTCAAGCAAGGGGTATTTGGTGAAATTAAGGTTAAATAAAGGGGGGACTGTTTCAAAGGCAGTTGATGTAAGAGGTTTCGGGTTCTGAAATCTTTTTCAACCTATTACATTGACGTTCTCAGACCGAGCGAATTCTTCAACCGTGAAACATTATATCACTTAATAAAGCAAAACAGCTAAAGAAAAAACAAGTAATCGTTTAATTAATGCGTGCTTCCCTGGTTTGTTGTTTTGGATTGAAGAGTTTAGTTGGCTTTACAACAATATTAAGTAGGCTTGCTTAAAAATTTGTAACAAGAATACGAATGTTTTTAAGAGACCTACTTCAACACAACCTACAGCTCCGTCGATGTTGACTTAACATGCATAGTTATCAAACTTGAAAGGATTTACTGACGTCTTCTGAACGTCAGAGACATGCTTTTATGAAACATTTGGGCAGAATAATTTAAGATGTTTCTGCCTTTGGCTGGCCTTCAAAGAACTGGGTACAAAGGAAATCAAAGAGCAAATAACCACAAATTAGAGTTTTCACTTACGCTGACATCCTCTGCTACACCTCGTCACTTGTCCCAAGGGTTGGCTGAACAGATAATAAACATAATGTATATTATTATCGCATGGGTTATGAAAAGTACAGAATTAGAATTTTACCTAAATGATGTTTTGTATTTCAGGTTTTAGCTTTGCAAAAGCAAAGAGAAATGGAATCTTCTGCCTCAAACTCAAATGAGAATGTAAGACATAGAAGATCAGTCAGGGGAAATTATTCTTGTACTAGCACACTACATTCCTTGCCTTCTAAAATTTCTAACATCTTTTTTCTAACAACGTTTGATTTGAGACGTGAAATTTCAGTAGGCCTAGCGCTGTGAAGTCTTTTCCTGTTATTTAGCATTGTGTTGACAGAACACCTTAAGGCGTCTTGTGGGGTGCAGAGCAAATGAGTGTTGTTGTTGTTAATAATAATAATAATAATAATAATAATAATAATAATAATAATAATAATAATAATAATAATAATATATGTGCGATCATTTTGGAATTCCAAAGAACATTTGTAAGACACTAACCAGTGATTACAAAAACATTTAGTCGATTTATTTAGGGACATTATTGACCCCCATACTTACAACACTAGAGATGTATTCACCGCCTATATACTGGGGAGAGCAAAAGACGTTGCCATACGGTGCAGAAAATCAGTATTAACGTTTGCCTTAATACACGTACATTGGTTTTGATATCTCAGCTCTTTTTGTACAAGAACGTGAGGCCATCACAGATAAATCCTGAAAAGTGAAAAGTTGTTATGAATCAAGGTTACGGGTTTAGTAGGGCAAAAATGGATTATGAATACGATCTCTTGGTTTTATCTGCTGTTGCCAGGTGCCAACACTTAGACTTTGATAGCATCGGGACCATGTCATGACATTCTCAAAATGACGTGAACTTACCACACATGCTTAAAGAGAGCTGAATAAACAATCACATAGTACCACAGTTTGTAATCATCTTAACAAGAAGAGTTCGGCGCCTTTTAAGTGCGATTCTTAGCCCTTGACCTGAAGTAGTGCACGTTCATATAATACAAGAAAGCCTAAAGCGATTTGCTACGAGAGTGAAAATCAGCAACACCCCGCTTTCAGCACTGGTTGTCTTTATCAAAATGAGACTCTAGGTTTTCACATTAGTGGGCTTGTTTATTGCTTAAATTGGGTAATTTCATAAAGACTCTAAAACTCTGAACACAGGAAACTGATTAACATTAATTAGGTGGACCTGTGCACCATAGATGGTGATGAGCAAAGGGTCAAATTTTAATTTAAACCAGCTTTTTTATTAATATATTATTAGAATTGTTTCAGCAGATTGTTCAGGCCTTTGAACTAAAACACAATGTTCACTTGGTGAACAGGTGTAAACATGAATGAAGATGGAGGTAGAATGCATTTATTCATTATTAGTTTGCGGGGGGAAAGACCCAAAATGTTCGTGTTAAAAACAGCAGCATGGGGAATGAGCCTCCACCATAGGCATCGATACGTTGCTGCATTCAGTACCCAAACAAAAAGAACGAGGCCACCTTCTAAAGAGTGTTTTAGGGTGTATGGCTATGTATAACATTAATATTGGGCATTCCTACTCACAAAGATATATAGAGGGAGTATTATGTCTACTACAGCATTTAATGATTGTTTTATCAGTTCTTTTCTAAAATGATATAGTTGTTTTTGTTTTGTTTTTTTCTTATGTAAAAAGTGTCTACAGCATTTTAATGATTGTTCTGTCTTTTCTTTTCAAAAATAATGTAGTTGTTTTTTGTGGGGCTTTTTCTTATATTGCAAAATAAAAGAATACATATTTTGTAAATGCTTCTAAACATGTCTCGTCGCCATAACTTCTAACATGATCTACATTTCAATGTGATCAATGTCTCAATTTTTCTTTTGTGTGTGTACTTTGGTTTCTGGTCCATGACTTTCTCTCTCTCTCTCTCTCTCTCTCTCTCTCTCTCTCTCTCTCTCTCTCTCTCTCTCTCTCTCTCTCTCTCTCTCTCTCTCTCTCTCTCTCTCACTCGTACACACGCGCACTCCAACATGCACACACACACACACACATACACACACACACGCACGCACACACACACACACACACACACTCTCACCTACCTACCTACCTACCTACCTCCCTTCATACACACGCACACACACAACAAAACACACGCACAGACAGACACACAGACTCACAGACACACAGACAGACAAAGCAGTACCAGGTACAATTATGTACTTGTTTTGCTCCCATTCGCATACCGCCAAATGCTCATATTATATTATCTGTCGTACCGGTACGCTTATACGGGGTGCCCACTACGGCTGGATCAAGCCGATCGCCCAACTCGATCGCCTGAAACTGAAAAAACACGTTTGTTTTTTAGGCGATCGACACGTTTGTTTTTTAGGCGATCGGCCCGATCCAGCCGTTGTGGGCACCCCGTATTACACAGGGTGCCCCTTGGGGTTTCGGGTGGGGTCGGGTCGGGTCGGTCTGCTAGCCAGATAGAGGGCGCAAAGCCGCTATCGTGGCACAAGCTAATCGCGCCCGACTCGTTGCCTCAAAAACAAACGGGTTTGTTTTCAGGCGACCAGTCGAGCGACCATACCGACCCGACCCGACCCAAGCCGATCCCATCCGCAATGGGCACCCAGTATTAATAAACTCAAATTCATAGACAAAACAACGTTCCACTCAGCAATCTCTTGTGTCTCCTAATCCACTCATTAGAAACCTCCCTCCTCTTATCTGTTTGGCTTTGTTCCTGTGCGTTTTTTCAGATAACCCCCGTCTGTGCTTCACACCCCCCCCCCCCTTTTTTTCCTCCCATTTTCGTTTTCCTGTCTGAACTGCCTTCAGTTTCTTCAATGAGTAAACATGCCCTCTAACATGTTTTCTCTGTGCGTGTTGTAGTTGTAATGGCTACCCTCCTACTTTGGCAATGAATCCTTTCTGAAGTTGCTGTTATATAGTCGTAGAGATAGGCGATTTGTGTGTGGAATTGTTAGAATTGTATCCTTTTAGAAGCCCTTGAAACGCCCAAATGAAAGCTGAGTGTAGTACCATAAACTGCTAATTTTCAGACACAACTTTTTTTCTTTGAGTGAACCTAATTCCCAAACTTTGTCTACTTTGGCTCAAGCTTGTATAATACTTATAGAACGTTTGTAAACAATAATATGATGTTAAAGTGATGCTGTGTTACTGTATACTTATTATATTTACAGCTCATTATGCTTCGGTTTTATTTCTGTGCATGATAACAATAATAATGTAACGTAGCTGATAAGTTCTCATAGATTTTGGAAAGTATTTATCTTTTATCTCATCTGCTTTCATGAGTAAAGACAGCCGTTGCGTATTTTGTGAATACTGAAAGCCTTATTTGACAAAAATAGTTCCTCTCAAATGCGGGAGATAGGCATCCCAATTTGATGTTATATTGCACGATTGTGATGTCGAATGGACTGATAGCCTAGTTTTATATCATTTGTGATTTGACAATGAAATACGTTGTTGGTAACAAACTTTTCAGGTTTTGCAAGCTCAGAAATTTGTCAGGGACAGACAGCAAAATACTGACAGCTCTGGCGCTGTAAGAAATACTCGTCTGTTTTTTACTTCTCTTTCTTGGCTTGCCGTAACTACTGTTTCGTTATTTCTCCACCCACCTAAAACAAAGCACGTAATGCCCATAACATACTATGGACTGGGAGATTTTGTGGACTGTTCAGTGATTAATCCGGGATTTCTAGAAATGCATGATTGACCAGGGTTCTGAATGTAATATTATTGCAGTGTTGAATTTTAAGTTAATATTATAGGCTCGTGTAAAAGGAAAAAGATGTTTGTGCATACGCAGTGTGGCTAGGTACATCTTGAGATGAAGCCAGTTAGCCAAGTCAAGCAGAATGCTCTAGAAGTTAGCGCTATTCGCACCTTGCTTGTATCATAGGCCTTTTTACTTCTATTTTTCATGCTTTCTGCAATTTGTTAGCGAGCAATGTACCCCCTGCTATAATGCTCTTGGTATATAATATTTTCATTCATATATAACCAACTTTCCCCCCTCTCCCTTCAACGCAATTCGCGACATAATTAGGTAGATGTAAGCGGCAACATTAAAAGAATGCCAGCTTATTTTTTTACAACAATATGCCAACTTCATTTCCGTACCTTTTAAGAAATATAAACTGAAGAAGTTCAAAATAATTATTGTCATTTTTAGACAACTCGTTCTGTGAACCTTTTCCATTCTTTAAGCATGTGTGATACGTGTGAAATACCGAAATAGATTTTTCAGAACTCACTTCCACCCCTGTAATTGTAATGACCAGAAGTGAAAATGTAAAGAAATATACGAGTATATTATATAGATAGTGTTGACTGTTCCTTGTCTTCCTGTGCTGTTATGCTTTACCCTTTTGTTCTTGCAGTCAAAATGTTAGACTGTAGTTTGTGTCTATTTTCCGCAAACACCTTTCTGAACTGACTAGAGCGTTGTTTAATGGTTGAAAGAAAGAAGAAACAAGATACTTAGCCAGATCTACTGTTGTGCTTTGGTCTTACGAACTAGGGTTTTGTCATACTCTCTTCCCCAGCAATCACGTGACTACCTCACTTTTGATGTTTCGTTCCTCCTTTCTTCCGTTCAGGCGGTCGTCTGACTACATTTTGACATCTCCCTCACCCCCACAGCCCTCCAACCGAAATCACCACCCATCCCCACCCCAACCCTGTGTGGTTTTGTTTGTTCCCATTCCCCAGGTCTAGATCTGTTTGATCATCTTTCATCGCGTGTGTCCTATTCTGAGGAAGCAGTACGATTTGCGTCCCCAACCTCTCCACTACCCCTTTTCCTTTAATTTAAAAAAAAATTATCACACGTAGTCAGTTGTTTGGGGGTTTTTTTAAGAAAGAAAATAAAAACCAGCTCACACCACAGAAGCACGAAATGAATATAGGCTCCGAATCATTTTTCTTTTAAGTACTGGTTAAAATAGCATCTTTGGCCATCAAAAATGGCAAACTGAGATCAAATTCAGCGTTACTTTCATGTAAGGAATGCTCATGCAGGTCAAGATCTAGCCCACAACATGCCAATGTACTTTCATATTGTACATAAGAATCTTACCGCTGAGTTTTTACTTTTTCCTGTTCATGACAAGTGCTTAACAATAATTATGTTCATCACAAATGTATCATTCGTGTTACCTCTTTAATTAGACAGACAGAAACCAGCTGAAACAAACTAACCAATCTTGAATAGCTCGATTTTCAAAATGGCAGTAAAATCCTAATCGAAGAAGTCGTGAATTTTGAAGGAGTGAAATTAATTATTCTTTCAATATCTGTATCTTTGAAGATAACAACTAGGTTACGTACAAGTGTCAGAGCTTTAAGATCTGGAGAAGGAGATACTTTATTTGTATGACACGAACACTTTAAGCCTACTGCAGTTTTTAAAAAATGGGTCGCTGTTATTAAAGCTCTTACCGAAAGTAGAAATGAACCGGTGAACCAAGGAAAGTTTGCCCCAGTTTCCCTCGCTTAGTGCAACAAAATTGAAATCCTTTAATGCACCCATAGATCTGTTTCAAGTGTTCAGTATGCTCGATTGTTCCTCTTGCTCTCGAACTGGAGATGTTGACGTGATGAAGGAGAGTGCCTGAGCGAGTGAGTGAGGGAGTGAGTGAGTGAGTAGAGCTGAAGCCTTTGGCCCTGTGTGTCATGTTTTTCACTGCAGGACGAAGATACGGTCAGCCTTTTCGTCTTCGGCGAGGAGGAGGAAGACTTAGCCAAGGAAGCGGACAAGGCCAATGGCGTCATTGAGTACAATAAAGTGAAAAATCACCATTTCCCCATAGAAAAATCGTCTGTTCACTTCAACCATGATGGACGAGTAAGACCAGGCGCTAGATGTTGTAGGCTAGAAGTGCAAAGATGTATGTGTGTGACAATAGGCACTATTTATGATTGTATCTATCGTCGATGTTTATTCAGTTGCATCGTTTGGTTTTTGCTGGCAAAAGCATACCGTCTTCATGCCGAACGCTAGGCCTATACTTTTTTTTTGGTTTGGTTGTTTTGTTGTTTGTTTGGTTTGTTTGGGTTTTTTTGTCCCTGCATGCATCTTTTTAATTTGACTGAGTGACTTACCTTGTTATGATGGCATCAAGAGTATCACAGACTGTATCTTTCGGTCAATACATTTGCTTACCTGTGCGTGTGTGTTTGTGAGAAAGTAATGAATGTTTGGAACGAAATTTCCAGTGTACAACCACACACCAGGGGGCTGTAAAAGAGACAAAGACCACAGAACAACTTAAAATTGTAGTTGTGGTAGGGG